CCTGCTGCAGTTTGTAGCAAAATACTTCAGTCATATATAGTATAATAAATATGTTGAGAAATTGTTCCTTCTTTCTATCCACCTTCATTTAAAATGAAGCAAATTTGCCCTTGAACATACTTATCCGGTACAATTTTCGACATTAATAATTACTTATAATTTGGAAATAAACATTACTCAAGGTTACATACTAAAATAGAACAGTTTAGTCGAATTTTGTTTTCGTCTTTTCATGTTTTCTTCAATGATGCAAACAAACATTACTTGACTTTTTTCCCCTCCATTTCAGAGGGTGTGTTCTTTCAAGTTTCAAATACAAATTTTCTCCCTCTTTCTCCCTTTCCCTCCCCAACCCACCCAGGTGCTTGCACCTCCAATTTCCAAAAGAATGGAAAAACACAACCCGCTCCCTCCCCACAGTACCACAAGTTTCACAAAGCAGGAATAATATACAAAAAAAATGCATTGCCAGTTTTTTTTTTATCTCAGATCTTCAACTTTATGAGCATCTGCTTCCTCTTAATCTCTCATCATCTTCTCTTTGCCAATTGGAATGTTCTCTTCAAGAACAGATTTGCTGATCGATCATTTCTATGGCACAGCACCCTCAATATGGTGTTGGGGTCTGATCTGTTCCACTTTCCCGTTGTAGGAGGCATTGGCAACTTCATTCCATTACCCATCAATCCTATCCCACTTGACTCACAGCTCGTAATGCTGAAATCTTCGATCAGTTGTTCACTACTTAGGCCCATCAATGAAATCACTCCCTCCACCACTGCAGCCTCTGCATCCACCACATTCTCTGCCACCAACCCTTCCACACAGTTGCTGAAAACTCTCTTCAAATTCTCAAAGTCCTCTCGGATGACCTCGTGGTCATGCCGGTGAAAAACGCGCGAGCTTCCACCAGCAAGCAGAACCATAAGGAATGCATCAAAGGAAGCCTTCATCACTTCCCTCAATGCCAATGGTTGAGCTCTATCTGACAGAGTTGTTGTAATTAGTGCGAGATTCTGCTTGATGACTCTCAATGCAGCTTTTATCTGACCTCTATTAACTCCACCAGCGTAGAGGCTATCATACAACACTGAGGCAGAGTCCTGAAATATAAGACGGTATGCAGCGACTTCTGCCACGTGTTGGCAGGCTACTAGAATGGACATGCTCACTGTTTCCAAGTATGAACAACAACTCTTGCGGTTGCTTGCAAAGCGAAGGCGATTTGAAGGAACAACTCCAGGGTTCAAAGAGAGTGTTTTCTCCAGAGAATGTATTTGAGTGTGGAGATAGTGCAAAGTGTTGACACGAACGTAGAGGCGTTGTGTTCCACGGCTAGTTGATGGCCGAGGAATGTTACCTTCGTGTTTTCCATTAACGTGTTGTATATGAGTGTCAAAACCAGCACTGCATGGAGCAGCTCTCTTCCACAGCATTGAGAATTTTGAGTCACTGTTGCATCTGGTAAGTGGGGGAAGCATAGGAATGTAACTTTGTTTTGAACCTGAAAGAGGGTAGAGTTGAGTGGAGGTTTAACTTAAAATACAAACTTTGCTACTCCATTGCGGCAATTATCAGTTCTATTTAGGAATTCATACTACTTACCACATGATGCAACAAACTTCATGTAGTCTTGGAAGAGGTTTTCCAATCCATCAGCAAGATCTTCAACCAAATCTTCGGTAATTGCTATTGGAACTTGGAAGAATTCCTCCACAGTTGCCGCGGCCAATTTCATTAGCTCCGCAGCTGATTGTGCGTGTGACTCAGTTTTGGACTTTGGACTCCATGCCTGCATTAACAGAATAAAAAAAAATATATAAAAGATATTCCATGAAACTATGTGATGATTTTTTGTGTCCTTCCCCTTTGAAGGAATAAGGATCATAAAGCCAAAACTTACTTCAGTTTCTTTTGCCCTCTGCAAACACTCGTTGCCTTTTTTCAATGAGTCTTCTATCCATTTTCCCAGAAGACTCAATATGACTGAATCAACATCATAGGGAACCATCTCTCTGATTACTGTTTTGCCACCATCATCACACTCGCTAGAGTCTTCAACCATCATTTGGACCATTACCTTTTCTAGCTTTGCAGCCTTCTGCAACACCTGAACTGACTCGGTTGTCAATGAGGTCACTTCACTCACGTACTGCTTCAGCACTTTGCCATAGCAGTTGTGCAACATCATTGCTGCAACTGCACTTGCTGTTGAATGCCATTTCTTGAGAACTGGACTAAAATGATGTCTTTCCTTCGTCATCAATGCTTCAGTCTCCTGAGCCAGTTGGAGCAGAACTTCATTCAATTCCTTCCTTCTTTCAAATTCAACAGACTTGGTATTCACTCCCTCTAAGACCTACACCGAAAAAAAGATGGAAAAAAATAATACATTATTACAAGGATTGACTAGTTTAATTTAGAATACAAAGCAAAAGATGAATTATGTTCTACCTTATCAAATGCGTTTCTCATGGAAGAACGAATATATTTGTCAACCCGGTCACAAGATGAATCCACTAAGGTTATGTCTCGTTTCTCTCCCCCTTCCCGCTCTGTGATTGTCAGATCGTCACCTAAAATTTTTGAGGCTGTCAACACCAAAGGAAGAAGGTTTTCGATTTGACCAACATTCCCTCTTTGGAAATAGTCATGGTAATTAAGCAACCTCTTCTCTGCCCAACCCTGCATTGAGGTCAGCACTGATGACAGTATCTTAACATACATAAAGTCCTTTTCTCGTTTGGCATCATTCGCCACCTCATTCAACATGGCATGTGAGGCACAAAGAAGGTCAGATTCTATCTGGCCAGTGTTTACATACTGCATAAACAGCACCCAAGTGAAGCACACATTGTGAATTGGCAAGGTGATCCCCAAAGTAGACCATGTTTTCTTGATCAGCTCAAGTAGCTCATCAACCTCATCTAGCACCAATGTCTCATCCCTGACGTCAAAAATGGACTGAAGAAGAGCCGTGTAGAGGTGAATGTTGAAAGGGAATCCATCAGCCCAGTGGCAAACATCCGTGGGAGTACCATTGTGGCTTCTCCATGACAGGGAAACCACAGAGTTGCAAAGACTTCTCATGGTGTCTGAGTTTTTGCCAGCGTCAATAGTTTTGGACTCCCCACTACTTACGATGTCCCTGAGGCGCGTGGCAAATGTGTTGGTCTTTTCTAGAGGGATTGAGGGGTAGAGGATGAGCCCTGCTTCAAGGATTTTGAGCTGCCTCTTTTGCCACATATGGTACTCATTGGAATCACTGAATTCTGAGGGTTTTAGGTGGCGTATCAGTTCCAAGGGGATGATGATAGTGTCTGCTCGCCTTCCCATCTAAAATTCAAGAAGCAATTACAAACATTAATTTAGACCAAAATCCACTTAACATCTTTTCATGAGCACTATATCAACATATAGTGACCAGTAACCACAGTCTGCATCAAAAACCACATGCTAGTGACTCAAGTTTGCATAAAAACACACTTTCTAGTATTCACTCTGAAAATCACAAATTTTATTGGATCTCTCATCTCATTTAATGAATTTCGTGATTTCAATAGTGGAATCCACTAAAATTTTCAACAAATTTCAACAAGAAAATGTTAGAAACAATTGCATGATTCCTAGCCAATCTCCATGCAGCTGAATTTTTCAATTTGCAAAACTACAGACATGCGATGTTCTCACCGTACAGTAATTCCTCTGCCACCAGTTTTACGTGTATCAAAATCATTAGAAAAAAATAAAAAGAACACTAATTGCATGCATGCAGAAACATACGTAGGCGAAAAAGAAAAAAAAAAGAAAGACATGCATGCATGCATGCATACTTGGCCAACGAGGGTCCTCAAGAGGGTTTTCCGCATCCTATTATCATCGTGCTCGGTGACCCGCATCTGCTGCCTCATGATCTCCGCGGCCGTCATGGGGCGACGCGGGCGGAAGAACGGGACGGTGTGCGAAAGAGGACTCCCGGGAGCGGCGACCGGCGAGGAGGGCGTGGAAGAGACGGTGGTCGTGGTGATTCTCCGGGAGGAGCTCCTCTTGGCCATCCTCAAGCCCAACATCTTCTTGAGGCGGCTCGTGGGCTTGGTCACCACCTGGCTCGGCTTCCCCCCCTCGGCTCCGCCCTCGTGGCTCGAGTAAAACGTCAGCGCGTGCCGCCCCCCGAAGCCCGGCGACGACCGGCACGACGTGAAGAATATCTCGTACGCCGTTTCCCGCACGGCGTCGGCGTCCAGGCCCTCGAGGTCCCCAAAGGGCCATGAGAGGGCGCCGGCGTCGGGGCGGCGCTGGCCGTGGGGGTGGTGGTAGTCGAGGCGTGAGGTGGAGGCGGAGGGGTAGGACTCGCGGCGGGCGTGGTGACCCATGCGGCGGGGTTGGGAGGGGAGAGTAATGTGGGTGGGGTGAGAGAGTGAGGGTGAGGGATGAAGGAGTGCATTTTATTGGTGTTAAAACTTAAAAGGGTTGTTGCATGTTGCATTGCATGCATGGTTAGTCTGACAGCAGTTTCGTTACTGATTATGGTTGTGGCATCGGTTGTCATTACCGAACAAACCGATCCAGATGTGTATTTCTGTCTTTCTTTCCCTTTTTTACTGCCTTTTTCTCGGAACCAACTGCCACAGCCTTTTTGTCTTTCCTCCATCGCCTCTTCTTGTCGGTTTTTTTAGTTAAGTGAGGCCAATACCTCCTTTCCGCGCCTTTTCATTGGATGTTCGATGTTCCTACATGCCATCACAAAAATTCGCTCTTCTTTACATATGGAAATACGTCAGAGACTCAGTGCTCGAATTTATGGGCTAAAGCTAAATAATTTTTATATAATCCAGCAAAAGGCCTATGAACTTGGCCTAAATTACATGCCTAAATATAGAACATCATGATTCTTCATGAGGCCACGATGACTAAAATGATTGATTTGTGACAGGAACACCTAAACCAAAGCAAAACAATTATTATGATCACTTGCTACTATTTTATCTCCACTGTCTTATGATTAAATATATAAATCATATTTAAAAAATAAAAATTCTCTCATAAAAAGAATTCTTAAACCTATATAAAAATTTATATTTAATATATAAATGCTAATTGGCTACCCCAAAAGGACCTCAATTATTAGATAACATTATCTGTTAAATTTTATTAATCATGTGGACACGACAGCTTAGACTTTTCTCGTGAATCCTTCTATCTGTCTCACGTACAACTTTATTGCCGACGGAAACAAACAACATTTGATATGATTATGTCTTGACTTCTGTGAGAGTGATATAAAGTGTTCAAGATTTCTAGTATCATCTTCAAACTAATGGATTGCATTAAAACTAAGTTGGGCCTTGTAAATTGTCATGATATGAGTTCTATCTGATGTTTCAATGAAATATACAATAGAGTTGGTCATTCAAGAGCAAATTAACATATTCAATAAACCATAGGAGGAAGGGAAATGGAGGAAACTCTTCCTCTCAGTCTCATCCATGTCAACAAGTCTTTGGTTTTCACCAATAGACTACACCTGCTCCTCCACTTTACTGCTATATGTTTCTTGGTTTATTACAGGCTGTGTTTCTTCTTTCAGGATCCTCAAATCCGAGGAACACCACTGTTCCCTTGGCTTCTTGTTTTTGCCTCTGAAATCATTCTCTCCTTCATTTGGATTCTCGAACAAGCTTTTCGTTGGCACCCTATTTCTAGAACCGTGTTTCCTGAAAGGTTACCACAAGATGACAAGCTCCCTCCAATTGATGTGTTCATATGCACTGCAGACCCTACAAAGGAGCCAACTTTAGACGTGATGAATACTTTGTTATCAGCCATGGCACTGGATTACCCTCCTGAGAAGCTTCATGTATATGTTTCTGATGATGGGGGTTCACCTCTCACCTTGAATGCCATGAGGGAGGCTTTGAAGTTTGCAAGGTGGTGGCTTCCCTTCTGCATAAGATACAGAGTTAAATGTAGGTGCCCCAAGGCATACTTTTCTGCTTCAGAAAATGATGATGGCGATGATCTTGCTGGGAGCATGGAATTTCTTGCAGATAAGAAAATGATCAAGGTGTGTTCTGTGTGAGATGAAGTCAATTTTGTCTGAAATTTTGGATTTTAGTAGCAATAGTTGATACTTGATAGTCAATTTTCTGCAGGAAAAATATGATGCTTTCAAAGAAGACATAGAAAGAGTAAAAGAAGACCGGGGAAACTCTGGCGATACTACTGGCATAATGGGTCAAAATCATCCACCTATTATAGAGGTATAATGTTATCCACAATATTCTTGGTGGTAGAAATGAAAATAACCTGATTTGAAGTTTAATCAGCTGATTTAAACTTATCTAGAAAAAAACTTTGGTAGGGTCAATTATTGTTCATTTATCTCAGGTTCAAAATTGTATGTAGGGCTTAATTAGTGCATGAATCACAAGCGTAACAACTCTACTAGCTAGGATGATTGATTTTAACCCTATTTTAAGTATATATATTTCTATGCAGCTGCTGATGTTTTCATTGAATTGCAGATATGACAACCAAAATCATATGTTTGTATTCGCCACTTGATTAAAAGTCTGTTTGGATATAAATTTATAAGTGACTTTGAGAACTTTTCTACGAGAAAAAGTTTCTTATTTTTAGTAGAGATGCTCTAAAAAATTCTCCTAAACTTATATCCAAATAGTTTCTAACTGTTCAATTGTGATGAGGAAAATCCAATTACAATATTATCAAATCAAATACCGATGATGGCAGGTGATTCAAGAGAATAACAGCAGTGAAATTGAGCAACTGACATTGCCTTTCCTTGCCTATGTTTCCCGTGAGAAAAAGCCTTCTCATCCCCACCATTTCAAAGCTGGGGCCCTCAATGTTCTTGTAAGATTCTCTCTCTCTAGTGTTATTAAATACACTCTCTAGGGACAAAATTATGAGACTCAACCAATTGAATCGAAGTGAATAATACCTTACATAAGGTTTTTAAGTATCAGCTAAAGTTTCGATATTGTCACCGATACATTCAACAAAATCTGACAAAAAAATGTTACACAAATATCTGGAGATTCTATTAAATGAAACATGGGAATACAGTGACCATTTTCTAGCTGCATTACAGATTTGCAATCAGCTATTTGATCGCTTACAAGTGTATATATTCTTACAGTACCGTGTCTCTGCTGTGATAAGCAATGCTCCGTATATTCTAGTTCTGGATTGTGACATGTTGTGCAATGCGCCAGCTTCAGCAAGACAAGCATTATGTTTCCACCTTGATCCCAAGATATCACCGTCACTTGCTTTTGTTCAATTTCCTCAGAAATATCACAATATAAGCAAGAACGACATTTATGACAGTCAGCACAGATCAGCATATAAAGTAAAGGATACCAAACAAGATTTCAAGTTTTGATATCATTGCATAGAATCTATGTCTTCAAAATGACGTTGTATTTAACCAAGTCTTTTTTTCCACATCTTTAGGTTCTATGGCAGGGTATGGATGGGCTCAAGGGACCAGTATTGTCTGGCACAGGCTTCTATATAAAAAGGGAATCGCTATACGGGAATTATAAAATTAAAGGTGTGCAGCATGATCAATTGTACCTTGAAATTTGGTAATTTGGGATGAACATATACATATACATACTGCATACTCATCATTTTGTGTTTTGAATGTTAGACACTGACCTTGAACTCCAACAATATGTTGGCACATCCAATGAACTCATCAAATCCCTGAAACAAAACTACACTCCAGATTCAGTCACTGTAGGACATACATTGCCTCAAGAAGAGACTTTGCTTTTGGCTTCTTGTAATTATGAAACTGGCACTAAATGGGGTAAAGAGGTATGCAGATTTTATGATCCAAACATATTCTTTAACTAGTATATCCAACAAACATAATGCACTTCTCTTTTTTGGAATATGCTACCAGGTTGGCTTCCTGTACGGTACTGTATGTGAAGATGTTCACACTGGATTCATATTGAATTGCAATGGTTGGAATTCAGTGTTATGTGATCCACCACAGCCACAGTTTCTAGGAAATGGTACCACTAATTTAAATGATTTACTAATTCAAGGCACCAGATGGTACTCTGGATTACTTGACATTGGTTTAAGCAGGTTTTGCCCCCTTATATGTGGGCCTTTAAGGATGTCCCTACTTCAGAGTCTTTGTTATGCACAACTTACATATTTCCCTCTTTATTGCTTGCCTCTTTGGTGTTTAGCTATTGTTCCTCAGCTTTGTCTAGTAAATGGAGTTCCCTTATACCCCAAGGTAACAACTAAATTATGCTGTTCCTAACTTCCTATGCCTTCATTTTTTCTAGAATTGGATTATATTTGCATCAAATATTTTAACATAGCTCTTTTTTTTTTTCTTTTGGTGTCAGGTCTCAGACCCGTTTTTCTTCATTTTTGTGTTTATCCTTCTATCAGCTTTCACCAAGCACTTAGTAGAGGTCCTCTCAACTGGTGGAACATTGAGAAAATGGAATGTTGAGCAAAGGATATGGATGATTAGGTCAATCACATCCCATTCATATGGATGTTTGGATGCTGTACTGAAGAAATTTGGTTTAAGAGAGGCTAGCTTCTTGCCAACCAATAAAGTGGAGGATGATGAACAGACTAGGCTTTACCAAATGGACAAATATGACTTCAGAACATCAAACATGTTTCTTGTGCCAATGGTTGCACTCCTCACCATCAACATTTGTTGCTTCATAGGGGGAATCTACAGAGTGTTATCTGTGGGAGATTGGGACAAGATGTTCATACAACTTTTCCTTCCAGCTTATGTCATTGTTGTCAACTATCCAATCATTGAAGGCCTAGTGATAAGGAAAGATGTAGGACGCATTTATCCTTCACTGCCTCTAGTTCTAACATGTAATATCTTGGCCACAACCATCACTGCTACACTTTATTCTCAACTAAGGAAAGTGTAATTTTACTTTTTATTATTCAAGTTTCATTATTTTGCAAATTTTGTCATTCAATTTTTTTAAATTGTATATTTCATTGCTCAATTTTTAAATTTTTGCAACTTTTATGACTCATTAATTAATCGTTTGATTTTGTTCATTGACAGTTAATGTAATACGTTAATTACTAATGTGACATGTTAACCATCATATTACAGTATGTCACGTCATTATTCATATGTCATGTTAGCAATACATGTCAATAATTGATGTGACACATTAATAGTTAATATGTCACATTCAATATTAACGTGTCACATTTCATAGGTTTATGTTATAATATTTATTTTTTTTGGAGATATGCTTATCAAAAAGAATGTTATATTTTTATTGTTTTTATCGGTTATTCCACACATAACTTTACATTAATATGATATTGTCCTCTTTGAATTTACACTTTCATGATTTTATTTTTGGTCATCATGTAAAAGGTCTTTTCCT